AAATTGAGAGTATATGTGCATTTAAAAATATATCATCAAAATGAATTAAGTCAATAAATTGAGAAATAACTGCACATTTTAATTTTCAGGTTCCAGAAACCAATATCCTGGGACAAGTTGGGCATGGCTATAAGTACGCCATAGGGAGCCTTAATGAAGGTAGAATAGGAATTGCCGCACAGGTAAGTTAAACTACAAAATTAATTAAACTACAAAAAGAAAAACTTGCGGTAAGATCAATGCGTGCTTGGAAGCTTGCGAACACAAGATGGCGCTCTTCCCTTACAGACTACGATAGCATGGCTTCTGTTTGTAATCTCTTTCAAGTTCCACTTTGGTCAATTACATGTGTCCAGAGAACCAAGCGATGGCATAGTAGTTGTCACAGTTCTTCTGCTTTGAGAACATGAAAGTAGTAACCCAGTACCTGGACTGGACTTCTCAAATGTATTGCAAATTAAATACATCGTCACTTTTTAAAAATTCAACTTGTCCAAGAATGAAATTCATTCTGGAAGAAATGTTTTAAATTAAGAAATAGTATTTATTCTGTGTAGTAAGAGTCTCTAATCCACCGACAATGAAATAGTTGTTGCTTAGTGTTTTGCAAATGAAATTCAGGCCAATTCTTTGTGGCACATGAAATAAAATAGCAAGAATTAAATTGAGGAGTACTATTAAAATTTGTTTTGTTTTTTTTTTTACCAAATTTGCCGTTTTTAATGCGCATTACACTTTTATATTAAGCAGTGTCACTTACGTTCTAGATTACAAAAACAGGTAAGGTCTTTGGTTTTATTATAAATTATATCATCTTCTATTTTTGTTTTTAATTAGTGAGTGTCCAAAATTGAAGAATGGTTAACTTTTAGATTTTGAAGATGTCACATGTATTAGCTATTGGAATAGTTAGATGTTGAATTATTCTGAGTTTTTTCCTACTGCTGTTACTTTACTTAACAAAGTATCCTTGGATCAGAATCTAGCCTGGGTTTCCCACAAAGCTAGATAATATGTTACGAAAAAGTACTGGCTCATCTGTGCTTTTTAAAGTGTTTCTGTGATTCAGTTTCATCAGGTATGTCATTAAACACTACAGTCCTGGGTCTCAGTGTTCCCAGACATATAAATAATACAGATGTTCTGGCAATAAAAGGCACGGCCTGGGCTCTCGTCTGATTACTCCGGGTTATCTTATAACCCAATTAAAAGTTAAGGTCAGTTAGTTATTATGCCTTGGTTGATGAGGCGGGCACCTTTAACGAAGAGGTGTATACAACAACGAGCTGAAGCACCTCCCCGCGAAACCCTGCAGTCAGAATTTAATTTCGTTTTTCAGTGTTTATAGTGAAAACATTTTACCGAGGTGGAAAAAGTATACTTTGTTTGACAAGTGATTGTTTCAGTCTTCATGTCGGTATACGATGTGATGTTACAGGCTGTAGTGACGGCTTCTAGTTACACAGCCAGGAACGCAGTAAGTCCCCGCCTCTCTTTCATTTCAGTGTTTTTTTTGGTTTGTTTCTTTTGTTTTGTTTTGTTTTTTTTTGGTCCCTTTAATTTTTGATATAATATTCTGTTCTCCAGAAAGTTCAAAACAAAAGGGAAAATGTGAATAAATGAATGTGAATGAAATATTGATAATTTTGATAATTTTGTGGGTGTTTCCCCCAAAAGCTTTAACTATTGATTTTTTTTCCTCCTTTTTCTAGAACTAGTTTGACACAATTAGATAGTGATTTAATGGCTACCTAATGTTGAAATTTGGAAACCATTTCTAAGCTTGAATCACTCGATTGGAGATTGGGTAGTAACAAGACAGTTCAGCTAAAATTGTTGCCACATCCGGATTTGTCCTTCTGGCGTGTGACTTATGTTTTCATGAGATGCTGTCTGTCAGCTGTTATTCAGTCACCTGAGGCATTTGTGAAATGCTGATGCTCGGGCCACGCTCCCCAAACCTCCCCTCCCACCGCCAGGATTCTGACGTAGTCGTTCGGCCAGGGCGTCGGTATCTTTTATGGAGTTCCCCAGATGATTCTCATGTGTGCTGGGGTTGGCAAACACTGCTCTTTTATGTTCTCCTGCCCTTTCCACTGAAGCTCTTATTAATCCTGATTGTATGCAAAATGGCCAGGAAGCTAGAAGGTTCAGAAGTGACCTTCCACATTTGACTTCTGAAAGGATTGGAGGGGGCTGCTCTACAGTCTCCAAGGCCAGTTCTGAGCAAAGCTTCTGTGGCTCCTTCATGCCTGGAGAGTGAGAGCTTAAAGGAGTAGATTCCTGAAAAGTGGCTGGGCAGTGGGAACACCCACACCGGGAGGCCTACCTCTGCACTAGCGTGAAGTGCTCACAGTCACGTGGAATCACTCCAGGGGTCTCCCAGTCACTGGAAGTTCACTTGTCCATACACAGTGGGTGAAGGGTGTTGCTAACACACACCTCACCACCTCAGTACCTCCAAACCTCTCCTGCCCAGTGATTCAGTTTGCCTGTAAAAGGAATTTACAACCAGGGCTCCTAATTAAAGCATAAACTTGTATCAAAATTAGAAATTCTGGTCTCTCTTTTTTTTAACAGATGCTGGGACTGGCACAAGGATGTTTTGACTACACTATTCCATACATTAAAGAAAGGGTACAATTTGGCAAAAGAATATTTGATTTTCAGGTATGTCGTTATTAGGATCTATGTCCTTGCTCCCCTGTCTTCCCATTAATGAAGAGCTGCATTGTAAACCACAGAGAGAATCTCCTCCAGGGGATTTTAATGGCAGCAGGGGCGCGGGGTGGGGGGGAACAGGTCTCAGGAGGCGCACTTGTGAATGCCTTGACCTTCACCAAGAGCACAACAGTAGTCCTTAAGGAGCAGCTGTGGCGTGATTCAGGATAGCCTGGTGAGAACTTGAGAGCTGTTTTCTTACTGCTTCATAAGTTCCAGGTCTGGGGTCGGGGTCAAGCTTACTGGCTTCAAATCCTGGTTCTTCTGCTTACTACCTTTAGGCCTTGGGCAAGTTACCTCACCTCTCTAAGCCTTAGCTGCTGCTTCAGTACCACCTATTCTGTAAGGTGACTTCAAACGAGATCTGTGTAAAGCACTTCGCACATTGCCTGGCTATAACAAGTGCTCAGGAAATGGGAATTCGGTAAATGGGAACACTCTTGTCATGACTCCCACAGCAGGCAAGAGCCAAGTGGTCATCCTCAGAAAACTACCTTCTGGCGCCCACAGCTCATGGAAGCTCCAGTTTGCTGCGCTAAGTGCAGATGAAGTGCTCTCAGCTGAGCATATCAGGACATACTGGCCTGGAAAAGTCCCGTGACCGTGGCTTCTTGGGACTCCCCAGGCCCTTGGGATTTGTTGGTGGTGGTGATATTCTCCCTGTCCGCACTGAGGTCTAGCCAGGTTGGCGGAAGCCTGAAGTGGCAGCTTACTGAGCGTTCAGGACCTCTAGCACATCACCTAAGGTTCCAGAATTGCCTCAAGTGTTTGCAAACCCTCCTTTAAGCAGCTCTTGATTCCACATACAATTTCTCATTACACCCCCAGCTCTGCCTTGCTGCATTGCCCTCAGGTTATGTAATACTGACGAGGCGTCTTGTGCGGTCAGTTCAAGGTGTAGAAGGACTGAGCTTGCTCAAATGGCGCGTGTGTGGAGATGCTAGACCGTGAACACGTGCAGGCAGTTCAGGGCCTAGAAGGACAGAGCATGCCCAGATAGCACGTGTGGAGATGCGAGGCCGTGGCTGTGCGCAGGCAGTTCAAGGCCTCGGATAGAGCGTGCTCCAATAGTGCGTGTATGGAGATGCTAGATTCTAAACATGCGTGTCAGTTCAAGGCCTGGAAGGACAGAGCATGCTCAGATAGCTTCCGTGTGGAGGTGGGAGGCTCTGACTGTGCGCGTCAGTTCAAGGCCTAGAAGGACAGAGCATGCCCAGATAGCTCCCGTGTGGAGATGCGAGCCTCTGACTGTGCGCAGTCAGTTCAAGGCCTAGAA